AGACTCTCCTCTGTGAATCAGTGATTTCTTGTTTAAAGAACTGTAATTTAAGTTGGATAAGTGGTAGAGGATCGATGAATAGATATTTAATTACTTAGGTTTTCAACCCATACAAACATCCAGTTAGATATATAAGTCCAAATCAGGATATGTGCTTAGTCCCCCCCTTGGCTATGCATTTGAGAGCTTAATCAGATGGTCCTCTAGTCACAGTTTTCCTACTCAGCTTTTTGTTTAATTATTTCCATTTAGAGTAAATTCAGCCACGCTGATACTTTGTTACTACTGTCAGTGTGAGAGTAAGGACATTGTAGGAATAAACAGTGTATAAGTATTGCTCGCTGCTGTTTAAAAGTTTGAGAGGAAAGAGTAGATATAAAAACAAACATCAAAGATGGGCTCAGTCTACGTTCAGATTTGATATCAGGTCCTGTGTCCTGGTTTAAGATCATATCTGTAAAATAGTTTTAGCCAACATGAGGAAGTTAAATAAAGTTGTGCCTATGACTTTATTACTGGTGCTCATCAGGGAAAGACAAAGTGAGCTGTGTGGCAGGCTTGGTTAGGATCCAAATACTGGGCTTTGAGACAGAATAAGTAACGAAAGACAGCAGCTTTATTGTTGGAAAATACATGCTAACACTAAGTACATGAACACTAAAAAGGAAACAAACATGAAATGAGAACTAAGAATCTTATCTAACCCTAAACCACGAATGGCTAGGCGAGACATAACATGATGTGGCTATAACACACAGTACACTGGCAGTAGCACAGGAACAGAGCGGGAGGGAGGGAGAGAGAGAGAGAAAGGGAGCCAGGGACAACAAGGTCACATTAGAAAGGTATAGTAATCATCCACAACTATTTTCATTTGCAGATGATAAAGGATTCAGAAAGTTTATTCATGCAGGCCATATTGGTGGGGCAGCTGTAGCTCAGGTGGTAGAGCAGGTGTATTGGGGGTTCAATTCCTGGCTTCCCCTAGTCTGCATGCCAAATATCCTTGGGCAAGATACTAACCCCAAATTGCTCTCCGATGCATCTATCGGAGTGTGAATGTTAGCTAAAAAAAGCACTTAGACAAATGTGAATGGGTAAATGCACAAGTTGTATAAAGCGCTTTGAGTGCTCAGAAGAGTAGAAAAGCACTATATAAGAACCAGTCCATTTACCATTATTACAGAGAACGGAATGTTCTTTTTGTTTTCATATTTTAATTAATATTTAATTGTGTTGGGATTTGCAGTGTTTTGCGTTGGTTCATATGGAACCCAAAGGGAAGAAATGCTTCACCATTTTTCTAGTCTTTGGCTTAAAATGAAGTTGGTTTGGAAACATATTCAGCTATGCTTCATCTCCTGCTTTGCGTTTGTGTGGGCGCCCGTGCTAGCAGTAATCCATTTATTTCAGCATAGTAACTGTATTCTGAATATCACCTATTGAACGGTAACTGTAACGGATACATTTACTCATATTTTGTATTTAACACTGCCTGCTGATGAGATCTTGTGCCGCTCCTAAAACACCGGCCTCCGACTCCTAAAGAGACACGGTATCCCTAAATTTAGCAAATATTAGCTTCAGGCTAGCTTGCTATGACGAATAGGCTAATACCAGCATTTTACCACAACTTCACCAGATGTAGTTAAAAAAACTAAACTAATGTCCAGTCCAGTGGGACAGCAAGGAAAGATAACAAAAAATGATTACTTACCCACGGTTTAGAGGGTCAAGCTGAAATTGAAACAGCCATGGAAAGACAGGAAGAAAGAAAGATGGCAGCTTGGTCAGCACTAGTGGCCTCTATAATGTATGCAAATACATGTGGGTCGGAATCCCCCCCAGCGCCGGGACGGCAAAACAGTGCCAGCAGAGTGAAACCGAAAAATGGTTTGAAACTGAAAAATTGATTGAAACCAAAAAAACATTGGAATGAAACTGAAAAAAAAATTATAAGTGAAAACAAAAAAGAACAGAACAGTTTCAATATAAGATTTTTCAGTACATTTATTTCAGTTACTATATTTTTTTTTCGGTTTCATTTCAAGGTGGCATCGTTCTGATCCCATAAATGAGCCGGTTCTCTAAAAAGATCCGGAAATCCCATCACTACAATAAATTGACAGGACACGGACTTTCAAAGTAAAACAGGAAACATGACACAATTAACAAAAATGCAGAATTGACACTGAGACACATAGCATGTCCAAATTCATGGGCTGCATCTTCCTGAGGCCGCATTTGTAGACCGATTACGTCACAGCGACGCGCCGAAGGCTGTCCAAATTTGTAGATGTCATGAAACGCTGTGTGGCAGGCAGGAGATGAGGACTCAAAGTGCAGGACTCAGACTCAGGGGATGAACTCAAAATCACAGCTTTATTTGCTGGTCACAGAAAAACGAGCATACAAAGTAAACTAAGCTAAACTGGGAAACAATGAACTAAAACTAACAGGGAGATCCACACAGCAAGAGGGACG